TGGTGCTACAATGAGTGCAGCTGCTTCTGGCAGCTCCAGTATGTCTTCTGCTGCTCCGTCCACCACCACCAGCACCACCAGTGCTGCTTCATTTTCTGCCAATGTCTGGTCCTTGACTATGATCTTGGCCCTCGTTACTGGTATCGCCATGCTTTAGACGACAACACAGCCTTTCACTGTATCATTTTAACCTGTATCGTTCGAGTATATGTCCATATGTGTGTATTTCTCTCCTTTATATATTTTTCCAGAGTTATCAAAGAAATAAAAACAACCAAATCGAGTCATCCGATATATATATTTACTAGGACGTAAAGCGATAGGAATGCGACTTGCCGTACAAGATCGTTAAAAGATGGAGGGATTTCAATTTGAAAGGACAGGAGGGAAGAATATTGTAGTAAAACAGTTTATTTAGTAGAAATGTAATAAGGGGATGTATTTCAGTATCAGATGAGTTGTTCTATTGAGGCATTACGCTCTCTGAGAGTTTCGTTTTCTTTTATTAGATGGGTTTGCTTCTAGTTGACCAAAAAATCCTCTGGGACAGAGATTATTCGAATAGAGCTATCTCGACCATTATCAGATAAGTTCGGTGATGGCGCTCTTTTCGAAGCACTTGTTGTTGCGGATCGCGAACGATCCTTGCCATCTGCAATTATATTAGTTATCAAGTTACCTAAGCGAGAAAGATCAGTAGACATCTTTCCCTTCCTCTTTGAAAACTTGAATGAATCCGCAATGCATTTATCCAAGCTGCGATCAGAAGGAGAAAGGCGAAACAGGAGGTGCGTTGGAGTGATTTACAGTAAGCTCATACCAAACTTCTGATTCAGTTTCCGTGAATTCTTCGTTCGCGATAGTTATAGAGCAAACAATTGGACCTTCCGTTTCTGGCTGGTTGGAAGGATCAATTGATTGAGCAAGTTTTCCCACTTCGTGCTAGAACTACAATAGTTCGAAATACATCTTTCCACTAGATTAGCTCGTACGAGTAACCATTATTAAACAGAAAGGTTTCCCTTGGTTTCTTCACCTCACTTTTATTTCGCAAAGTTCAGGTACGCGAATGAAGTACCGAAAGGTTTTAGTGAAGAAATTACTGTTTCTAACACAAAGAGCTTAAGACGGCTGACATCACTCCAGAGCGAAATTTTCGAATTCCCGTCTCGAAAAAAAAAAATGTTATATTTTTCGTTTTCGGACGCGCCCAGTAGACGCGACTGTTAAAAAAAAGTCAATCTTAGACATCATGGTAAATACAACGATCCAGCACCTGCTAATCACTCACCCGTACTGACTTACATCTGCTGTGTACAGGCTGATAGAAAGAGAAGAAGAGATAGTGCCAATCTCCACAGTGATGATGCACCTGCTTCGTCACCAGCACCCTCCTCATTGCCACCATCGTCACCCGCTCCATTCTTTTCAGACTTGGGATATAGAGACGAGGAGGAGGAAGTAGAGAATAATTTGGAAGATGAAGTTGATGATGAAGAGGATGATGACGGTATTGATTTGTTTGGAAGCGATATGGAAAAGTAAGTGTGAAGTTTTGGTTGCTCAGGAACGACCCTTCACCCAGAGTAACTAATGTATCATAGTGATTATCGCGAGGACTCTGTTCGTGATCGCTACGATTTGGCCAACATTGACGATGAGGACTACGACAACTTGGATCCCGCTGATCGTGCTGCTGTCGAACAAAGACTAAATCGTCGAGATGCCGAGATAATGCGCAGAGAAGGCAGAATGGCCGATGCTTTCATGGATGGAATTGATGACGATATCGATAATCCTATGCCTACAAGACGCCGTCACAGACGACTTTACGATGCCGATATGGGTATGAACTTGGATGACGAGAACATGGCTGTGGTATGTAGAGAACACCCTCTTGATTTCTGTCTTAATTTGCCACAGTGATTTACTGACATCGCTCTTGTTCGATTCACCAGCCTGAAATGTCTCTCGATGACCTTCGCAACATGAAGCATGCATCTATGACCGACTGGATTGACCAGGAAGCTCCCAGAAGAACAATTAAGCGAGAGTTTAAGGATTTCTTACTGACCTATGTTGACGAGCACGGAACTTCAGTGTACGGTGAACGAATCAAGGATATGGGTGAAAGTATGTGGTTTAATGTTACGGTGTGAGGGGACTGAGGAAACAACTCTTGGCTAATCGTTTATGTCCTTTGCTAGGTAATCGTGAAAGTTTGGAAGTTAGCTACGAACACCTTTCTCAAAGCAAGACTATCCTTGCCTATTTTCTCGCCAATACACCTCTTAATATGTTGAAGCTTTTCGACCAAGTTGCCTTGGAAGTCACACTTATCCAATTCCCAGAATACGAACGCATTCACCGAGATATTCATATTCGCATTGCTGATCTCCCAACTGTCAACACTCTTCGCGAACTTCGACAAATCCAACTTAACTGCCTTGTTCGTGTATCCGGCGTTGTTACCCGCCGAACTGGCGTGTTTCCTCAACTCAAGTGGGTTAAATACAACTGCGGACGATGTGATCAACTACTAGGTCCCTTTTACCAAGATATTCACAACGAAATCAAATTACAAGTCTGTCCACACTGTGGTGGAAAAGGCCCATTCAATCTTAATGCACAACAGGTAACATATTTTACTTGCAAGTTACGTGGATACATGTGACTTTTTGGATATGGCATTAATTTATCATTTTATAGACCGTATACCGCAACTACCAAAAGCTCACTTTGCAAGAGTCACCTGGTACAGTTCCACCTGGTCGTCTTCCTCGCCATCGAGACATCATTTGCTTGTGGGATCTCATTGATCAATGCAAGCCTGGTGAAGAGATTGTAAGTGCTATTTTTACTTTACATGTGTATATGTGTTGACTTTGAGCTTGGCATTAAATGAGCGCTGCTTTGTAGGAGGTTACTGGTATCTATCGTAACAATTTCGATGCCTCGTTGAGCACCAGAAACGGCTTTCCTGTATTTGCCACCATTATTGAAGCCAACTACATTAGCAAGAAGGAAGACCTGTTCGCCAGCTTCAGACTTACCGAAGATGATCAGCGTCAAATCATGGCATTGTCAAAGGACAAGCGCATCGGTAAACGGATAATGAAGAGCATAGCACCATCTATCTATGGTCACGAAGATATTAAACGTGCTATTGCACTTTCCTTGTTTGGAGGTGTACCTAAGAATGTTCAAGGAAAGCATTCAATTCGTGGAGACATCAATATCCTTATGCTTGGTGACCCAGGAACGGCAAAATCACAATTCCTTAAATACGTGGAGAAGACAGCTCATCGATCTGTGTTTACTACTGGTCAAGGTGCTAGTGCTGTCGGTTTGACAGCTTCCGTCCACAAGGATCCCATCACACGTGAATGGACTTTGGAAGGAGGAGCTCTTGTGTTGGCAGATCGTGGTGTCTGTATGATTGACGAGTTTGATAAGATGAACGATTCTGACAGGTATGTACGAAGGTGAACTGCTGACACTGCACGAGGAAACCCACTCATTATCTCTATAATAGAACATCTATCCACGAAGCCATGGAACAGCAATCCATTTCCATTTCAAAGGCTGGTATTGTCACCACCTTGCAAGCTCGATGCTCCATCATTGCTGCTGCCAATCCTATCCGTGGTCGCTACAATGCAGCCATTCCTTTCTCGCAAAACGTCGAACTCACTGAGCCTATCTTGTCTCGTTTCGATATTCTCTGCGTTGTTAAAGATACTGTGGATCCAGATCGCGACCATACCCTTGCTACCAACGTCATTGCCAGTCACATCAGAAGCCATCCAGTGTTCGATGCCGAGAAGGATCATATACATAATGTTGATGTGGACATCGATGTAAGTTGTGGTGACACTGTAGCGCAATCCAGTCCTATACTACGCCTATACTAAGTTCCACCCTCCATTTTAGATCTTACCTCAAGATATCTTGCGTAAATATATCATGTATGCTCGTGATAAGGTTCATCCAAAGTTGCAACAAGTCGATGAGGATAAGCTTGCCCGACTTTACTCAGAGTTGCGTCGAGAGTCACTTGCCAGCGGAAGTATTCCCATCACAGTGCGTCATTTGGAATCCATGATTCGTATGTCTGAAGCACACGCAAAGATGCATCTTCGTGAATATGTCCGATCAGACGATGTGGATGTTGCTATTCAAGTTACACTCGACAGTTTCATCAGTGCACAAAAGTACAGTGTCATGAAGTCATTACGAAAAGTAAGTTTTGAAAAAAAAAAAAAAAACGTTGGTAATTTGGATCGATTTGCTAATCCCACTCAACCCCACCCAGCGCTTTGCCAGATACATCAACAGCTCAAGAGACAACGATGAGCTTCTTCTACATATGCTGGAAAACATTGCTAGTGAGAAGCGAAAGATGTATCAATTCAGACATAGAATGCTTCCCAAAGAAGTGCAAATCGATGTGGAGGATTTGGATAGCAGAGTAAGTATATTTTGAATCGCTTGTAATAGTTTTGTCAAACATGCTAATACTACTTCTACTAGGCTCGAGACCTTAATATCCATGATATTCAACCATTTTTCAAGTCTCAGTTGCTGGCACGAAATCACTACAAGATCGATTTATCTCGAGGAGTTATTATTAAAACATATATGTAATTTGCGGAAATACCATGCTTTCGACCACTCAATAAATAAACCATACTTTCTCCTAATTGTAACATCGATGCGGTTGAAGAGGGACTATGTGAATAAGAGATGAAAAAGACCTCAAGAAAAAGTAGCACTGTCGATGGATGACAAAAAAAATGGACCGCTACAATTACAGCAACACTTTCCGTATTACGCACAACTTTCTCATGATGATATAAGCATAAATAGAAGAGACAAAAATACTCGTGTCTCGTCGTAAAGAATCGTAGATATCGAAAACAATGGAAATACTCAAAGTATACAGCAGAAGATGAATTCAAAAATCGGCTGAAGCAAAAATAGAAGCAATCTGCAAAAAATGCGGGTTATGTGGATTGAACACATGACCTTCAGATCTTCAGTCTGACGCTCTCCCAACTGAGCTAAACCCGCTGCTTGTTTTTTCGGTAAAAGTTAAGTAGTAATTGTACCAATAATGATGCAATGTATACACGCTGGACTCATCTGAAGTATAATACAAATCTTAGAGTATGTTCTGAACTAATTGGAAAGATACTAAATTTTAGCTACTGCTATTTCAGCAGGTTGAAAAATATACAGTCATTTTTCCAATATATTCATGCTTACATACCATGGCTTTTCCACTATGGGACTTAAATTACAATTTATCAAATGTTTCACTTGAAAATTTACTGGTTTGCATACACAAGCGATGAATATAGATTTCTCAAGCATGCAACCAACTCACTCAATAATTGTGGATCTCTCACAAGTTCATCCTTCGTATGCCAGCGATGCTATATATTTAACCTTACTGATTTTCATGCCGAGTATACATTCTGCAGCATTTTCAGCGCCGCTCAGTTCTTTTCATGTCCGCCTGAGTTGGTTTCTTTTTTTTAAAAAAAAAAAAAATGGTCCTCCGTACTGTAATATGCTCGTCTTATCTGAGTGTGCCAGAAAGTCATTTATCGTACGTTACCTCCTACCAGATGCGAGAAGTAATCTTGTGAATCCGTAATATGTCTCACAAAATCAACTCTTATCATAATAGTGTCTTGTGGTTCAGATGATGTAAGGAAGCAGTTACCATGTTGACTTTACGTTTCAATAAGACCTATCCCACGCTGGTCCTCAACGGTAATGTGGACATTAAAACTAGTTCGTTAAATTTTTTTCTCCTTGAAAGTCATGAAATCGGAAGACCGAGATTGCTTTACTATTTTGCTGAAAAATTCGTGTTCGTTCAGTACTGTTATCCACTCTGGCTAAATAAGTATCTCACAGCCTTCATCGACCAAGCCTGATACCTGCCCATCATGACCCATCGTGACCTCAAAAGACTGGTCTATCTGCGATGGAACCCCTAAAACAGATTCTGCCTTCCGATTAATGTTGCCAGATCGATCAAGATGATCGAAGCTTACCTAATCGAAAGGCACTGAAACATTTGCTTGGGGAGCATAGTCCAAGAACCTCTATGTTTTGTGCTGCATGCAATGTTACAAACCCTCTGACAAAATTCAATTGCACAAGGCGTGGGGACCTTTAATCAAAGCAAACCGGTTATCGGTCAGACACTCCGCCCATGAGTTAGTATTGCACATCGTCCGATATTCACAGATGCGTTGCCGAGACATGGAAATTGGTTGTGGAGAAAAAACCAGTCACGCACCAAAATGTAATTATCCGCCGTATGATTTCACTGCTTGCTTGTCGCCTTGTCTCATGAAATATTTCTCTATGCCATTGATATTGGAGCTTTTTATTGAGTGAAATATCTATTCGTTTTGAGGAGACATCACATTTGAGAAGATGGGCTGTAGACCTTTCTTTCATATGGTAGAGCTGGTCGGTGTTTAAAATTCAAATGAGCCAAAATATGTAAAGATGGTGAAGAAGACTTCGAATTTACCCCTGAACGACTAGTAGCGGCAACAAAAAATGACGTTGAATACAGAGGTAGAAGCAAATTTTTGTCTTATTTGACCTGGACTGCTGGCCAGTATACGTGAGAAGTTGACCCAAATCGCCGAGACTTATTTTACTGCATGCATGGTAATCCGACCGTACAAGAGCCTTCGGTCTTACGGTGCACCAGGAATACTGAGGCGAAGCAATCGCTAATAAATTGTGATTTGAGAGACTATAAGGCAATAAATTTTTTCCAGTAAGGATCTATCATGGCCACATGCCATTTACAAGATATCTGACTGGAAGGATCAAGGTCTCAGCTGAGCTCAAAATTTCTTACTCCAGCACGTCAATGGGATGGAGGTCAAATTATCAAAAGTCCTGAACAAGAACAGAGAGAATTATAGATCGGCCAATTTTATTTGTACTCAGTTCGGTCAAACTGCGCCTTGCTTATGGAGACTGGTCTGCAATGATAGCTATGATCCCATAAAAAAGAAAGTCATATGTTTAAGCCTTGCGTAAAAGAGCCAATAGACTTATTCATGATAGATGAACATAAGACAAGTACACACTGCTCGCACTGGCAAGAGAAGAATCTGGAAACCTTCTGAGGAGTTTCAAACCTACGACTTGGGGCAAAAGACGAGATAGACAGTGTGATTTTCCATGGATTGCTGAGATGTTTCAACAAAAATTGATTATAGACGTCGCTGGCCATCAGGAATATGTTACATATCTTACATGGCTTGCAGCAAGAAGGCAAAAGCCACATAGATTCCGTTTTCCCGCTCACGACCTCGTTGCTAAGCAACAAACCCGCAGTACTTATTGCTACTAGCAGTAAACAAAGCATGTAGAGCAGACTTTTTATTTTGCTTGGCGCAGTTTTGGCTTTGATACAGTCTTTTTAACTACGCTTATGTTTTAGAAATCTCCAGTAAAACGAGATAGGCAAAGCTTTCAAGTGTACCCTGTACAATAATTAAACTCCAACTTGACGGTGCGCTTAAAAATAATTATGGGTGACAGTGTGCACAACCATCTTAGCATTGAGCATCGTACAATAACATACAACCATTACGCTAATGCTTGAGCTTTCTCCACACCGCTGTATGCTGCATAAAAGCATCATGCATTATCAGATTCTGGAGATGAAAACAATGATGAAATTTGATTTTCGTATGTTCTGGTTGTTCTAACACTTGTTGAAATTCAATTGAGTGACTTCATATTGATTGGTCCGGAGGACTTTGATGGCGCCTGAGAAAGAACAAAAAAAAAAGTGAACATTTGGAACAGTAAGCTTCAAACTCAGCAGGGTATAGGGTCAAAGCGCAGGACTAAATATCTATCCCGATAACCTCTCACTTTGTTTCCCTTTATTCCCCAACTTTAGCAATGGGTAACGAAACATCCAAAGCTAAAGTGGAGGCATTAACCGACGGCAAATGGCAAGTAAAGCAGTGGACTTCTTTGAATCCGCAGCTGAGCCATCCAGGCGATGCCAGCTCACTTAAATCAGATGCAAGTAGTACCCATTCCGGACTTTTCACGAATAGAACGGACACCATGAGCAGTGAAAATAGCATGGAAAGCGACAGTCGACAGAAGAAAAAACGGAAACCGTTCAAATACGCAAAGGATTTCTTATTCAATGGCAGTATATCCCCATGGGGTCAAGACAAAGCCTTGTATCGTACGGATCAAATGTCGTCAAACTCTTCGTTACCGCTAAGACCTTTGACTGACGACATGATGGATAGCTTACGAACAAGCAATTCCATCTCAAGTGTAACAGCATCCTCCACGGATCACGTTTTGGATGAGGATGACTTGACTCTGGTAGCTGAGAAAGGCTGTCATGTCGGACATGAAATCATGAGCAGTATCTTTACGCTTGAAGCGTACCAAACTCTGTATCACAGGTAAAAGAACTGTCAGAAACTTTACATGTTTAAGAGCCTTTCTTCTCACCGTTTGCTTTCTCTTTTCACTTAGGCTATGTATAGTACAGGTTGAGGATCGTTTGCGCAGCGGCGCGCAGGTCTTGCACTTGGGGTAAATGATGCTATTTCCTGCTGTGAATTGACAAAATTGTATACGGTTAGCCTTTTACTCACACTTACTGTGTATTAGATGTGGTTCAGCCGAATGGAGTCTAGCCATGGCTAAGATATTTCCTGATGTCACATTTTATGCAGTCGATACTGCAGAATATCTTTCTACAGCAAAACTTCGCCATATCCCAAAGAACGTGTGCATTCAAACTGCCCGAAACGGACTGGACCATCTCCCGTTCAGCGACCAATCCTTCGACTACGTTATGTGCCGATTTCTCTCTTTTCGGATATTCAACTGGCGTTCTCTGGTTGATGAAATGGTTCGACTTACTAAACCTGGCTGGTTCGTATTTTTACATCGATTCAATCCTACCATGCACAGCTTATTAACAAAAAGCATTATTTACAGTTACATAGAACTTTGCGAACCTGATTATCTGCACGTAGGTACCTACGGACCCATAACTCAGCTACTAGCAAATGGCAGTAAGTTTCATGAAGTAGTTGTGTTCTGTAATGGCTGTGTTATTTACGTCGTCGCTTTCTAGTAATGAACATGATGCTGAACAACAACATAGACCCTTATATTGTTGACGAACTCGACAACGTACTGTCGGAAACCGAAACTCTATTGTTTGTTAATTCTCAGTCAGCATTCATCAGTCTGGCAAACCAGAGTGTATCGCAGCACCTATTCTCCATGACCGTTCAAGGCTTAGGGCGGTATCTCACCGACTGGAAACCTAATGACACGACAGATATAGACTCATTAGTGGCTCAGTACGTTAAAGAGTGTCAGGAAGCAGAAGGCCATATATCCGTCCGCAGCGTCTTTGCCCAAAGAAGTCGATTATTATGACAAAAGCGTTCAAAGCTCCCCCCAATACCTACCGTCGGAGAAACGGGTTTTGCTACTGCGCAGTTTCTGTCTACCATTGAATGTGAATTCGTATCATGTGTGACAGCAGACTATTCACGTTTGGCAATGTACATAAGTCAACCGGACACAAATCTTCTCCCCTCCCTCCATCATTGCGTAGAAACGATCATCTAACAACTCATTTGAATGCATGACTGACGAAATCAAGTGTTTACGTGTAAAATTAATTCGTTATTTACTAGCACTTACATTGACAGCTGTATATTGTAAATATATTCTTTTCATATCGGAAGGTGATAGCGGTTCTTTTTTATGTGAGCAAGATGAAATTAAAGAAGTGATAGAAGCACCGAAAGCCGGAACACACCATTCAAAGTTTTTTTTTTTTAAAAAAAAAAAACCGAAACGAAACGAGCTGGTGCGGGTGCTGTCTGTGCTACAGTAGATCTATCATGCAAGAAAGCGTTCTCAGTTCGCCAGGTTGCGTATTTGGGATATGATCACGAGAAACTTCACGTAGCCGCAAGGTGTACAAAGTCTAAACATGAGGCTTAGTTAATACTATTCAAAACTCA